TGTGATTTGGGTGGTGACTGCTGCCCCCGCGACTCGGTAACGGATAAGTGGATGAAAATGGATGGAAAATGGACTTTATAAAATCAAGAATAATAACTCAATGATGTTTTCAGTCACATGGTTGTGAGTTCATTTTTATTCTTTTATTATTTATAAACATTATATTTTCGTGTATTTTCCTAAAATTGGATAATTCGTTGGTGTGTTTATCTTTGTATTCTTATTTGTTGTAAAAAAAAAATGAGGTGACAAAAACCAACCAATCAGATTCTTTACATTCAATTTTGCGTATTTTTTGTTTAACGTTCAGATCCACACCCTGACTCTCAGACGCTGACTTTATCAAAGCGTTTCCTTTTTTAACGTTGTGACGTCACGAAGTGTGGCACGTGGCATTTGCATACGTGAAGCAAAGTCGTCGGTGAGGCGCGTGTCATCTGGACACGTCTGTGATGTCCGGCAGCGTCCCGCACATCAGTGTCCATGACGACTGAGAGAGACGCCATCTGTCCCTGAGGACACGCTGGAAGAACAGGGGAGGAAGGGAGGCGGGGAGAGGAGAGCAGAAGCTCCAGCACCTGCTGAGATCCAGAGATTCCTCCTTTTTTTATGTTAAAGTCTGGGGGAAATGTGACTGAATCCACAGATGGAACCATGTCAGAGCAGGTCATCGGCACGCGACCTGACGTTCAACGTTATCGTAACTCAAATATCGCGAGTTTAATTACCCAGACTGAACATAAGATGCGAATTTTTTTTTAAAAAGACACTTGAATTATAAAAAAAATTACACAAATTTAGACCAAAAATAAATAAAAACTTCCCAAAAAGCCTTCAGAACTACGATGAAATATTTACTTATCTTAAATAAACAAACAAATAAATAAAAAGAATAAATGAATGAAGAATAAGCAAAGATTTAATAGGAACTGTTGCCTGAAACTCGATTGATATATAATATCCATATCATAAACCGTATTACTTTAATTTAAAATACCGTTTCCTTTATTATATTAGTTAGTTAGTGTATATAAATGCACATATATATTAGTAGGAAGTGTTAAATTAGAATGTATAAGTTAAATTAATATGATAAACAATGATAATCTTCTTTTCTCGGCTACAGTCTCTTCCTCTCTTTCAGTCTTTTTTTTTCTTCCGCTGAGCTCCAACACCTGTCGATGCTGTTGAAGGAGGCGGAAGACAGGGGGCGTGGCCTCGAAGTGCCAGATGATGAAAAGAAGAATGGGCGTGGCCTCAGTCCGACAGATGCTGAAGCAGAAACAAAAGGTCAGGATCGATTTACAAGCTCCTGCCCCGTGGCCAAAAACCAGACCTGGGTCTGTGTCCGGATCAGCTGGAGACTCACCCATTTCCTCACCTATTCACTGACTCACCCAATCAGCCTCCTGCAGCTGCAAAAAGGGATAAGGGATTTAAAGAGTTGTTTGTTTTGTTGTTGTTGTTGTTGTTTGGAAAAAAAACCCCACATTGACTCGTTTTTCATTTGTTTTCTGAATAAATCAAGATTCAGAAATTTCAGATTTTATAAACTGAAATTGACTGAACTGTCCACAAAGAATGCCAAACAATCAAAGTCAGAGAAGTAGACCAGTACTCCGTTATACTACAGTAGCTATCTGAATATTTCACACACCCAGTTTCATTTGACCCCATTGGTCCTCGAAGTAAGACAACTGAAAAATTAGACCAATTTAATGGAATTTAAAGTGATTCCTCGAAGTAAGACAACTGAAAAGACCAATTTAATGGAATTTAAAGTGATTGAAGGTCACTTTTAACACGCGTTTTCAGTATTCAGAGGGTTGGTGCAAATACACTTTTTTTAATTTAAATAAATGCAGCGTGTAGTGTTTTACCGAGTTACTGAAAATGAGTTTCTGTTGTTTGACGATCCGTGTTTATCTGTAGGGTTGTTGTTTTTTTGTTTGTTTTGTGTCGTGAGTTCCAAAGAAAATAAAAGCACACACTTTCTTTATTACAGTGTGTGTGTGTGTGTTTGGACTGTTTGATTTTAATCTGCTGTCGCAGTGGTTGTATTTTAAACACGCCCGTGAAAGTTAATCCCTCTCTCCTCTGTTTACATTCAAATGTAAAGAAAACTCGACAGCAGAGTGGCGGAGGAGAGGGCGCGTGGACAAAGGAGCCCTGCAGGCTGAGGCTGACCTCTCCTCCTCTCTCTCTCCTCTTCTCTCCCACTTTACTCCCTCCCTCCAATATAGCGACAGTCCTCCATCTGCTGGTCTGGCTTCCTGCGAACAATAGGACAGAATCAATCACCGCCAACCTGTGCGCCTCCCCCTGCTGCTGCTGCTTCTGCACAGCCCCCAACACTTCTCGTTACGCAGCATTAGCAGCAGGTCTGGCCTGGTGCGCCTTTGAATAATTCTGCAGTGTATTTATGCAGAGAAGATGTGCTGCAGGAGAGAAACAGACGCGTGCGTTAAAGTTTGATCATGCGTCATCAAAATTGGGAGTGATCCAGAAAGTCAAGTCAGTGTTGGACTCCACTGAACGTGTTACATACAACGCACAGATATACAACAACGTCAAACGATCGAGATCCCACAGGTTCAGGGATGAACCTAGTGACCTGTAGACGTATCCAACCGGTGTAAAATAGTGATGTGTCGTTCGCGAGTGAATCTTTTCATATGACTCGAGTCATATGAAAATATTCGTGACTCGTGACTCCCAAGTCATATGAAAGATTTGTTCATATTGAACTCACGAATCGCGAACTAATCACTCAGTGCGAACTAATCACACTCTGTGAACTAATCTTTCGCTATGAACGAATCACTCGCTGTGAACTAATCTTTCGCTATGAACGAATCACTCGCTGTGAACTAATCTTTCGCTATGAACGAATCACTCGCTGTGAACTAATCTTTCGCTTTGTTCTCGCAGATTCGTTTCATTTGTCACGTGAAAGAGAGCTCGGGTCTCTTTTGCTCTCATCCGTCTTCACATTGTGGTCTGTTTTCCTTTATGTTTTCATACGGTTTAATTGCTTATGGTATTTTGTGTACTTTTTAGACTTTATCAGCTGAAGCAAACCATCTTGCCTTCAGTTTATTTATTGTCGGAGAACCGCAGCCTTCTTTACAACGCCCACAATAGGGCTAAAGCGCCACCTGCTGTAAAACGAATGAAATTATTCGTTTAATATTCGTTCACGACTCGTTCATTTTACTGTTCGAGAGTTCGAGAGATCCGAATCCGTAAAAATAGTCGGTCTTCCCATCTTTAGTGCAGCAGCAGGAAATGACAAAGATGACGGCAAGAAAAAAACACGTTCACTGTCTAACATAAAACAAAATTGTCAGGTCCGAACTATAAAATAAATAAATTGTCACAAGTGTCCAGTGGCTGAAAGTTTAGACGCAAAGTAAAATTCAATTCAATTCTGTGTTTGGAGCAGGTGGGTGATGATGGTGGTAGTGTTGGTCCACCATCTGCGGACTGCAGTCTGGCATTTAAACTGGTTTCTATTGTGAGCAGAGAAGAATGGCAAAAGAAAAGCCGTCCATTATCGCGGGACTTCACATACAAATGCAAATGAGCAGCGCGTGCCAGAACGCTGCTGTGCGAGCTGAGCAATTTGTTCTGCCGGAACACGTGGACATCAGCTGTCCACAAAAGTCCAGCTTTGTATTTGTCCACAGACTCTCAGGGGACTCGAGAGCCACGCGAAGACGAAAATGTCCCGCACGCGTTGGTGTTTGACTCTATCACACAAAATTACGTATTCCACAAATTTCTGCCCGCTCATTATTACTCACGACACTCAGCCAAAGTTCAATAATGTTCAATAAAACGTATTGTTTTGTCAGTAGAGCTGAAATTACGTCTTTACCACAGCTGTTGTTTCGTTTTTACTTCTATATGCGCGTACTCATCTTGACGTTATTAAAGTTTTTTTCTGAGTACACAGTAATAAGTATAATGTTCATATAATTCGTGCTCTGATCAACACGTTTTGAAGTGTATCACCTTTTTTCCTGCATTTGTTCAAAGTGCTGCGCAAACTTCTATTTTCCTTCTTAAAAAAAAAAAGAAAGGATCTATTTTTAGAACCATGCAGCAGCTGAGCTCAGTGAGAGTGAATGGGTGGATGCATGAATTGAACGGATGAATAGATTAGTGAGTGAGCAAGTGGAAGCGTGTGCGTGGCACCCCCATCAATCTGCCACGAGCCGCAGCGCGGAACAAAAGCTATTATTCTCACGCGAATGAAAGCGTTCAGCTTCAGCCAATCAGCGAGCAGAGCTCCGCCTGCGCCGCACGAGGGGCGCAGTATAAGAGACGTGCGAGGCGAGTCTGTGGCACACTTCAGTCTGAGCACTGACGGATCCCGAGCTCTCTCTTTCTCTCTCTTTATCTTGGGATTACTCTCATTACCGAATCTTAACTTTCATCATGACTCTGGAGGAAGTTCAGATCCAGAAACCCCAGGAACGCGACCAGTGTGTGGGTCAGGCCCTGGAGGATGTTCTGGTCTCTGCAAAAGACAACGACGCTCCCACCGTGGGCGTCCACGAGTGCGCCAAAGTCATGAATCTGTAAGTCAAGCAGACAGAATATAACGGGGTTTTTTTTTACACTTTATGTCGCTTCCCGTATCCGGATGATGTAAATCTGACCTTTGTATCTTTGTTCTCTTGTCCACAGAGACCCAGACAGCGTGTCCTTCTGCGTCCTGGCCACGGATGAGGAGTTTGAGTGCGACATCGCGCTGCAGATCCACTTCACACTGATCCAGTCCTTCTGCTTCGACAACGACATCAGCATCGTGCGCGTCAGCGACACACAGAGACTGGCTGAGATTGTCGGCGGAGACAAAGTCGAGCAACTGGAAGACGCTCACTGCGTCCTCATCACGGTATGTATCGCGATATGTGTCGTGTTATAGAGCATCGTGATTAGGTGGTTTTATCAATCTTATTCCAACCTGGATCAGTGTCTTGACATTGTAGCGATTTGTTTTTAAACGGCCACACGGGGGAGCTCTGTTTTGGAATTTAAACTTAAGACCACTACATTACAAGTTTTTAGTTATTTTTATTTGTTGATTTTGTTTTTCTTTTTATGTGTTAATTCAGCCTGAACTGATGTTTTTACACATTCTGTGGTGCTGCTTCCAGAGAATCTAACCGTACTTTTCTTCTTCTCTTGGCACAGAACCCAGCTGATGGTTCTTGGGAGGACCCTGCTCTGGAGAAACTGCACCTGTTCTGTGAGGAGAGCCGTCATCTTAACGACTGGCTTCCTGAGATCAACCTCCCCGGTCGTTGATCTGATCTGAGATTCAACATTTGTGAATCTTTTTGTCTGGAAATACTCATCCTGACCTGCAGGGTGACCCTGTTTCTCTTCATCCCTGGATACTCCTGAGGAGGATTCTGGTCCAGGCAGCACAGCGCCGGCCCCGGCCCCCTCTGCTGAAGGAAAGAGAGGGGCCCCCGGCCCGTGAACCGTCGACTCTCGTACCTGTCCATGCCAAGATGACTCTCATTCTTTCTGTGAATGAGGTCAGGCATGAAACGAGAGCGGCACACGTCGACCCTCATTCTTTGTGTGGATGAGGTTTGGAGAGGAAGGAGAAGCGAGTTCTGCGTCCTGAGGTGTTTTGAGAAAAAAAAACCTCTCAGAGCAGATGCCGCAAACGTGACGCACGCGCAGTAGGAGAAGAAGCGGTGCGGAGGAAGAGGTCGTCTTTTGGAAAGAGACTTTTCTGAATGATGTCCTCCTGGGCTGAGCAACAGAACCAACAGTTGCACATCAGCGCTAATGTTTTCCACTTTCCAGAATTGTCTTAATTCTCTAAAGGTTTCACTTTAGAAATTTAACAATGACAAGAAAAAAAATTGAAAAAAAAAAAAACTCCCTTAAAGTTTCGCTTTAGAAACTAAATGATGGAAAATATATGAAATATTAAAAAATGCTTGATTCCAAAGGTTTCACTTTAGAATTATAGCATTTTGTTTAAAAAAAAAAGGACAACAAAATCTGAAACATTTAAAAATATTAATTAAAAAAAATCCCAATTATATTTGTTTTCTGCTTAGTAACTTGGTGAAAATACAAATCTTCATACAAGGTTTCACTTTCACTAAAAATTAGAAAAATATTTACAAATGTGAAAAATATATTTTTTTGTTGTTGTCAAAAGAAAATGATTAGACATTGATAGGACATTTATTTAAGTTTTCTGCACAATGAAAAGAATTGTCTTGAAAAAAATGGAAAGACTTGAAAAGTGTTGATAGAAAACATTGAATAAAGGAAAAGAAATCAACCCCTCAGTCCTGTTTCACTTTTTCTCCCTTGATGCTGTTTGACTTCTCTGTGGTTTATGGATGGATGGATGGATGGATGGATGGATGGATGGATAGGGAGAAAGGAGGTCAGAGACGCTGACAAAAGTTTCAGCCTGTCACCTGCTCTCTGTTGCAGAATAATAAAACTCTCCCCCTCCCCACCGTTGGCTCCGCCCCCTCTCAAACTGATTTGCATGTATATGGACCTGTCACACTGGAACACAGAGCGTCCATTGTCTGTCCTGCAGATGTCTCTGTGGCTGCACCATCTGCCGCTCCCCTGCAGTCGAGTGGAGGAGGAGGAGGAGGTGGTGGTCTAAAAGGAGAAATGGCAGCCAGGTCTAACTGGTTTGGGCCAGTTGAGAGGGTAAAGGGCCCCCCGGACTATCATCTGTTGTCCCAGGCCAGCTGCTGTCTGTCATTATTTACTCACAGACACTTGGAGAAACTTTTGTAAACAGGCCACAAAGAGGCTGAAGCTTCATCGTCCCCGTCAGCAGCAGTGACAGCTGCTCTGAGGCCTTACAATGGAAACTGCATAACACGCAGATGGCTACAATTTATTGAACAATAATAAAAGACAGGGAGTGTTGCTGTGGTAGAACCACAAAAAGGGAAAGCATTAAATATCTGTGGTGTCCGTTGCAAAATATTGCTTAAAGGTAGTTCATTAAAAATAACACAGCCACAAAAGCAAAAAAAGTATGACTCATGTCTACAAAGTTTCAATACAGCACAACATTTTGTGTTTCCTTTTTTTTTTTTTTTTCACCACTTGGGGTCACTATGGATTTTGATAAACAGGAAATGGTAAAGGTAAACAGAAAGTAGGAAGTCAGTGTTGGTCCACCAGATGCGGTTTTTCATTGTCATGTAGTGATCGGAGTGGCGCTTTGGCCCAGAGGCAATGTCTCTGTCATTGGTGTGGAACCCCAGGGTTCACCTCCTGGGCAGGTAACGTAACCAGGAGATCCCAGCGTAGTTGATCTCGCTGGGTCGCCGTATTGCTCTCTGAAGTGATCCTCCAGCTCCAATTTTGTGATCCCCAGCTTCCTGCTTCTTTTGTCCTCTAGAAGCTGTCTTGCGTGCTTGAAGGGGTTTTTGAAGAAGTTGCTCCTCTCCCATTCCTTCCTGCTTTTGCGGATGCGCTCTGCCCTCCACAGGTTGGCATAGTTCTTCTTCACCTCCTCTCACAGTGGTTTCAGGCCATCCTTTTCCTTTTTGCCTGCTTTCCTCCACTGCTTTCGGAGCTAACACCGCCTCTTCACCAAATGCGCGATCTCCCTCTCCCTTCTTCCCTTCTGCTTTGGCCTCACGTTCTGTCTACATCTACACTTCTCGTAGAGGAAGTCTCCAAAGCAGTTAAGTTTGGTCTCTACTTGGCCACATAATGAGTGCTCTAAGACGCTAACCAGGTCTTTGTCAAGCTCCTGCCACACTGCCACCGCGTTGGTTTTGGGCCATTAGACTGGCTGCCGACGCCCTGGTTCTTTCCTCTCTGTCCTCTGGCCTGGTTCCTGGTTATGGGGGTTTTGTTGTGTTCTGAGGTCCGTTGATGTTCTGGGAGTGTTCTCCTTGGTGCCATCCTCAGAGGAATAGGTATCCGCCAGGTGTCCTCCACTTGCCTTCCGTCAGCAGTGTTGGAACCCTCAGCGCTGTGGTTAGCGACTTGGCTTTGGGCTCCTATTGTCTGACCTGCAGTTGCAGTGAAATGTTGCTGCTGGCCACTCACTTTTTTTCATTCTGGTGGATCCTTAGACCCCTGGTAGTTGTTAGCTTCTCCCGTCCACACCTGCATCTTCACATTACCTTGTCATCATTGCCTATGTCCGTTCCAGTCGTTACCAAAGCGACTATACAAAGCGACAAAGTGACCATAATAATATGATCACTTTTTTGATCACACAAAATGTCGGCCAAGCTGTGGGTCAATGGGGGTTTCGTTTAACGACAAGGTCTTCAGAACATAGCTCTGTTGTTAAGTGAAGACTAGCTATAAAATTAAAAATTTATTCAGAAAAAGTCAACGTTAACTGACTAAAGCACAAATTTGATGTACATCTGATGACAAAACCGATAAAACTGTTAATCATCAGTCACTCAACGTTAGACAATATATCACAAAAATAGCCAGAACATTAATATAATTAGCCAAAAATACCCTGCCACCCCGCAAGACTTTCAGGCAAAAAAAAAGCAAAACAGGGGAAAACTGCAGGGAAGTTTTAATAGTTTAATAGTTTTAATTTTATATGAATAAAACAGATATGAAAATCTATAATTGTTCATTTTATTTTATTTAGATTTATTTACTGATGTATTAACATGTTGCTGGAACTTTTACAACAGTTTTTTTATAAAAGTACTAAAAGGAAAAAAAGTGTAAAAGTAAGTTTATATAGGTTTTGGTCAGTAAAAACAAGTTATGCACACTTGCCAAACACACTTTTAAATTTAGTTTAAAATTCTGACTTCTGAATTCTCTGTCTTCTGTGTCATGAAAGAACACAGAACTTGGAGGTGTGTCTGAGGCCCTTGTAGGCCCGGAGCCCCTCTCTCCTGTGGTCCCTGACCATTCCTCTCACCACTGGGGGGCAGTCATAGCCCCTGTTCTTCTGGATGCGATGACTCAGGATCCGATAAACCCCAGTCACAGGGCTACGACTGTCTTTGAGCTGGTTGTTCCTCAGATGTTCTGTGGTGAAGCCCAGCTCCTCCATAGAGTTCCAGACCTCCTCCTCCTCATCCAGGTTCTCGCTCTCTGGACTTAATAGAGTCCTGAATATGCTAGTTGGCTCCCGGGACACCAGCGGCCAGGGAAACTCCACTGGCAGGAGCCAATCACAGCCCATCATCTGGTCAATTGCATAGCGTTCTGCTGGATCTAGCTTCAGGATTCCTTTGATGAGTCTCTGGCAGGGACCTGGAACCCAAGGTGGGACCACGTAGGCACAATCCCTGATGAAGCGTCGCAGCTTACCTAGTGTTTCAGCACGGAAAGGCATGGTGCCAGTCACCATGAAGAAGAGCAGGACGCCCATCGCCCAAATGTCCACAGGTGGACCGAGGTAACACTTCTCTTCGAACAGTTCTGGAGCAGCGTAGGGTGGAGAACCACAGAAAGTGTCCAGATAGTTATACCGGTTGGTAAGCCTAGTACTGAATCCAAAATCGGCGACTTTTACACAGCCCCTCCTGGTTAAGAGGACATTCTCTGCCTTCAGGTCACGGTGCATAATGTTAAGACTGTGCTGCAGGAGAAAAAACAATGGTGCTGTTAATTAAAAAAACTGAATTGAAGGTACTGGGTCTAAATCAGAAGGAGTTCCTCAATGGTCAGTAACAAGCAACATCTGGATTAAAGATGTTAGCTGTGTGTTAACTCGGCCAGACTTTTTACACTGAGTACCAGCAGAGGATAAATGTCTCTTGAGAGATTTTATTTTTAAAAAAAATTGACGTATGAACCGTTTATTTATTATAATTTTTTTGTTATTCATGATGACCGTTTCCATGAGTTCCCAATTTTTCGAGACTGCTGCATCTCAGTCAACTTGGTAGAATTCCAGTTCACTTTTTCAAAATGAAGTGGAGGTCTGAAATTTTGTATTCACCAATAGCTGAAGAACTAATGATCTGGGCCAGACATGGGCAAACTAAGGCCTGGGGACCGCTTTTTGATCCGGCCCACCAAACTACTCCAAATTTTATAATTTATTTATTATCATTGCATTGCATCATGCAGTTATTTTTCCTCAGCTGGGAAAACTGGATCTGGGTGGTCATGCTATAAGTGGGCATGCAACCTTTGAATAATTACAGGATACTGGCTCGTCCGTTCTACTGTGTATCCTAGCGGCCCACTCCTCACAAAGAGTGGGTGACTGACAAGAGGGTTTGCCTCGCTCATTCCGTAATGGATCAAACGTGCCCACGTGCTGAGACCGATGCACAGAGTGAACCCATTTGTCATCCAGTCTCTTTGGAGGCGAGAGATGAAGAAAACAAACATCAAGGCCTACATTTTCGTTTATTGTGCGATCAATGGATTTATTGATTATCATCCCAGACTTATTCTCAGATCAAACCATTCACTGTGTTATGATGTTATTTTTGGATTCGGTGTTTATAAAGATCTTTATCTTTATAATCAAACCAGTTTTAAAAGTCAGGTTTCAGCCTCTTTTTTTTGAAAAGTTTCTCACCATATACTTGATCGCTGAAAGGATCTGAGCAAAGGTGGTCTTGCTGCTGTTGTCAGAGAGCTTTCCCTCACTGCAAATCCTCTCGTGAAGGTCGCCACCTCCGGCATGCTCCATGACCAGGTGGAGCCGGCTGGGCGTTTCCACCACCTCGAACAGACGCACCACATTTGGATGCTGCAGCGACTCCATGCTGCTGATTTCTCTGGAGAGCTGACGATGGGCCTGAGCATCCAGTCTGGTTTTGTCCAGAACCTTCAAGGCCACTTTGTCTAAGGGCAGAGGAATGTGGAGATAGCATCTTAACATCTAGGTGGAGAAACACTGTGGTGTGTTGTCGTCCAATTTCTACAGAAGTCTGATATTCTGTTTGACTATACCAAAGTCTATAGAGAAAATTTGGCAGAGGCAGCAGTGGATAAAGAAAATCTATTTCAAATTGGTGATTATTTCTATGGACTTCTGAATAGGGAGTTTTAGTAGCAACTTCCGTTTTCTCTTGCAAAAGAAAGCATGAGGTAAAACAGAAAAGGTAGTCGTAAAATTGTTTTAATTATGTTTCTGTCCTGTTCTGTCAGTGTGTGCTACCTTTAGTTAGCGCGTGAAAAGCCAGCTTGACTCTGGAGAAGGTCCCAGAGCCGATCTCTCCTCGTACCTTGTAGAATCTCACCCTGCGGCCGGTGACCAGCTCCTTGATGGTATTCTCGTCATTGCACATGTCCGAGGTGAGCTTCTGCAGTGGTGTGGGTTGGGGTGGGGACATCGGCTGCTCATCCTCAGAGTCCGTGACAGAGCTGACGGTCAGGCTGTAGAGGCTACAGTTGAAGTTCCGGTTGGTCACCGGAGAATGACTTTCGCGCATTTCTGTGGCAGGACCGCAGCCTCAGCTACGGTTCTGAAGGTAACAGTTTAATGTAGAGTCAATGGAAGAGGCATGATGGGAGATTTTGACAAAGCACACTGTCTTAGATTCCTTATTTTCATACCCCTGTTATTGTTTAGGCACAACTAGGGTTGTCACAATACCAGAATAGTCGATACCAATACCAGGAAATTTTCAGGATTCTCGATACTTATTCAATACCACAATAAAAATCCAAAAACAGAACCCATGTACCCATGTGCTCCTGTCAGTTCTACCAAGAATCGACAAGGCTTGTTGATAAAAACAGCAGGCGTCAATGTATTTTTGGTGTGTTGGTACCGACTTGGTACTGAGTAATCAGTTCTTGTGACAACCCTAGACATAACACAAACCTAAAATTAAAGTTAGGACTGTTGAAGTTAATGTGATAATGACCAGTTAAAGCAAAGTAGTTTTTGATGCCAATCGCAAGTAACGTCTGTGATTGACCCTGGGATACCCTGCCATAGCATTAGATCGTTCTCCTGCGATACCATAGGCACAACTGTCAAATTTAAAAATGTAACTGTAAACACAAAAATACTGTTACATGCTCAACATCAACATCAGGTTACTAAAATTGTAACAGAATGATGTACAATTGTAGTCGCTGTAGTCACGTGACAATTTCAGTATATTTTTTTTACACCCCTAGGTGATGTAGTCGTAATCTTTTAAGTGCTCCTTTATTGCACATTATACGGCTTCGTCTATCTCCAACCAAGAGGTCATAGAGGAAATTACCAGAACTGCCTCAATTGTCCTGACAGCGCTGACAAACCACAAGGCATTATGGGAAATTCTCCCCCACAACTATGGCCAATCATGTAAATAATGATCAAGCAAAACTTTAATTGATTGACAGACAGAACATAAATACTCTCTAGACCGAATGTTCTGCAGTTTGAACTCTGACATGAAAAAACAATAGTTGTACCTTACTCACCAAGTCTCCAGATTGTTGCGTCCATTGAAAACATATAAAGTAAAATGTGGTTTTCTTCTTTTTGTTCTCAGCAAGATCCAGTCTGATCACATGATCTTCTCTGGGTTCTCAAAGTCTGCAGACCGCCTATCTCTCTGCCAGACACTGATGTTCTGGAACACACAGGTGAGAGAGGACGACTAACGGGGGGTGGGGCGTGGACACACGTATAAACCAGTGGTCCTCTCTCATCTCTGCTGCTGAGTCGGTGTCACAATCTTTAATCCTGTTTGGATCCTTTGCTGATCCGGTTAATCTCAAAGTCAGAGCTGGGTTTGGAATGAGGTAAAAAAAACAAATAGGCGTATGTCAGCACCGCCATATGGTTCTGGTACATTATAGGGTTCTGGCCTGTGTTTGTCAAAACACACCTGTGTGAGAAAAAAAAACCAGTTCTGCTGCAGTCGGACTGTTGGCTTTTGTGGAGCTTGTGTTACGTAACAGTTTTACCTCATGTTCCCACAGAGAGAGATTACCCCCCCGTGGTCTGTAGCAGACGGTTCTGAGCAGATAAAGAGATTAGAAAGGCTGATGTCAGGGTTTCATTCAAGTGTCTTGTCCCTGTGAGCAGCAGTGAAGCTAGACATCAGTCAGTCAGGCAGACACTCAGGTTGACACCTTTACTGTTATTATTTCATAGCAACTGTATTATTTAAATGCAGGTGTTACAACCTAAATGCAACACCTTTAAATGTTTGTAAATAATTATCAAAAATTTAAAAAAACTTTGTGAAAAATATTTGAAAATTCTAGATTCTACATTGAGTGACAAAAATGATCTCTGAGAGTAGGCCAGGCTTGGAGTTGAACCCTCACCCTTCTGGATGAAAGATGACTCATGGTACAACCTACAGCTTAACAACATGCAGTATATTACAATTTAAGTTATCCATAAAATAGTTATATCAAGGGAAACTGGACAAAATAGTTTTTTTCAAAAAAAAACATTTCACCTCTCATCCAAGAGAAACAAACAAACAAAACTACTTCATCCAGTTACCCTCAATGTAACTATTTTTAGATAAAATGACCTGGATGACTGAGAACCTACACAGACAAATCTAAGTTGTTAACTGTTAACTAGTGTCTGGTACTGTTGTGATCCATGTGTATATTTTATTAATATTTATTTAAAATTATATCATAACATAACACAACAAAATATATTATATTGTTATATTATATCATATTATATTTTATTATATATATATATATTTATTATATTATGTTATTAAGTTTCACTTTATTCTGAATGCATTGTTTGCTGTGAAAGGTTTTATGGCAGATTTTGATCAAACAGTAATAAAGACACATTGATCAAAGAGCCATGATACTCCGTATGATGTATGAAGTTATTGTATTATATTATTGTTTTTGTTTGTCACAGGTCTTTAGAAGAGGACCAGAGGAAAATTCCACTCCCTTTATTGAATGACAGCAGCTCTGACCTTGTGTTTCTACCTCTGCTGCTGACGGGATTTAAACCTTTAGAATCAGACACACTACACTGTTTGTTTAACAGGAACACACTACACACAGGATCCCAAGGCAGAGAGGAGGAATTGCAGCTGCACTGATAATGTAAGAGTAAATGTATAAACTGTGAAGCAGATGAACCCTGTGGGTCTGACCCAGACGGCTAAAACTAAACAACAATATCTAGTTCCTCTTCCTCTTCAATCCACCCTCACTGACTCGCTGGTTCTCCTCAAGATCTTTGATTCTCTCACGCAGACACATGATCTCCTTGTTCTTCTCCTCCTGAAAGAACTGCAGCTTCTAAGTAAAAACACAGACTTAGGTCACACATGAGCACAGAGACTGGACCAATCTGGTACTGCACCTCCCAAACTGGTACTGGATCAGTCTGGTACTTCAGAAGATTGGTACTGGATCAGTCTGGTACTGCACCAGTCTAATCTTACATCAGTGTGATTGAAAACCGAGGGGTGGGGCTTACTGTTTTTACCTTTTATCGTGTATAAATGGTTTACTCAGTAGATACGCACCAAATGTACTGTCCATTGTATGCTGTATGATATGTGTGTAACAAATAAAAAAATAATTTGCTGACCCTCTTGAAGACACTCGGAGGCAGGAGACTGGAGCCGTGATGATGCTGCTGCTGCTGCTGCTGAAGTCTCTGTGCTGAACTCTGAACTCTGGCCAGCTTGGCACCAAACTGTCAAAATGAGAGACAACAAAACCCTCAGACCTACTTTTACACAGGGTCATTTAAAATAACACAGAGACTGGAGGGAAGCTCTGTTGACCTTTGACATCCAGAATGAAATAGCTGTTATAGTATACTCTATAGCCAAAGAGTTAAACCCATTTTCACCCAGGAACACATCAGCAGCATGGGGACTCTCCAGTGATTGATGGGAACTGTCACACTTGACATCAATCAGTAACTAGATCAGAGATTATTCCTGGAAGTTCAATCAACCCTTCAAAGTTTTAGGAAACATACTATCATGAATATAAATATGACCAAACACAGGTTGTCATGGTGACATGTCATAGCTGAGGTCAAAGGACAAATGATTTTAAAGATAGAAAAGCTGTCAAGTTCCTTCTACCATTTTCTTCCTTTCTTTCTTCCTTTCTTTTATTGCCTTTTTTCTGTCTTATTTACCTTACTTCCTCCTCTTCCTCATTCTTACTTCTACCTCCTCTTTCTTTTCTTTATTCCCTTTGTCTCCTTTGCCTTGTTTCCATTCGTCTTCTTTTCCTCTCACCTCCATCTGCAGCCTCAGCAGTTCACTCTGTTTCTCTCTCTCATGGTCCTTCAGCTTCTTCCTCATCTCCTCCACTTCTTTGTCTTTCTCTTCCAGAATCTTCGTCACTTCAGAGTCTTTGACTTCCACTGAAACAACAACACTTTTGACAAAGTATTTCAGGGAGGTTACTGCAGTAGTACTCTGGAGGAGTCAGTGTGACCTTCTTACTCAGACTGGAGACCTTGCTCTCCACCAACTCCACTTCTGTCCTGCACTGCCGTCTCACAGCCTCTAACTCCCCCTGGTGTTTGCGCTGCTCTCTGCCTATTTCTCTGAGCAAACGCTGCACCTCGGCCTGTTCCGCCTGAAGACAAACGCAATGCAAGTCAAGACAGATTTTAAATATTAGTCATCCTCCATGTTTTCTTATAAACAAAATGAATGGTTTGTTTGATTCCCTTTTGTCCTCACCTCTGCTCTTCTGTCATTACTTCTCTTCAGGTCCATCACCTCCTCCTTCAGCCTCTGGTTCTCCACTGGAAGATCAGATGTTTTGTTGTTTCAGGAAATCTATCGTATTCATCTTATGTTTTTTATGTGGAGAAACAGACTCAAGACGGTGCTAGTCACATGGTGGTGCTAGGTCACATTTTGATGTGTGCGATGGTGTGCTGTGTTACAACGACAGTTCACTTTCACTTAACTTTCATACATACAGTATATATATACATATATATATACATGTATCGTGGAACCACTGGTACATATATATACAGTGCCGTGAAAAGGTATTTGCCCCCTCCTGATTTCCGTGTTCTTTGCATATTTATCACACACAAAGGTTTCAGATCATCAAACCAATTTTAGTATCACACAGAGACAACCCAACAAAATACAAAATGCAGTTTCTAAATGATGCTTTTTAAATTCTCAAAGTAACTGTGACTAACCACAGTTTTGAGAAAGCTGAGTTCTATTTCACAGGACACACCCAAACCCGATTACCACTACAAGATGTCAAGAACAAATGCATCATGCCATGATGCAAAGAAATCCAAGAAGAAATGAGAAAAAAAAAGTGATTGAAATCTATCACTCTGGAAAAGGTTACATAGCCATTTCCTATAGGCTCTGGGGCTCCAGCGAACCACTGTCAGAGCCATTATCCACAAATGGAGAAAACTGGGAACAGTGGCAAACCTCCCTGGGAGTGGTCAACCAACTAAAGTTACTCCAAGAGTACGACAACGACTAATCCAGGAGGTCACAAAAGAACCTAGAACAACATCCAAAGAACTGCAGGCGTCGCTGGCCTCAGTTAAGGTCAGTGTTCACGACTCTAACATAAGAAAGACACTGGCCAAAAAAAACAACTGCTGTCAAAAAAGGACACAATGGCTTGTCTGACATTTGCCAAAAAACATCTTGATGATCCATCAAAAATGGAACTTTTTGGAAGGTGTGCAGCCCGTTACATCTAACGTAAAAATGGCACAGTATGTGATAAAAAGAACATTATGCCAACAGTGAAGCATGGTGGTGGCGGTCTGATGGTCTGGGGCTGCTTTGCTGCCTCAGGACCAGGACTACTTGCTGTGATTGATTGAACACCAGAAAATCCTGAATGAGAATGTCCGGCCATCAGTTTGTGTCTTTAAAGTCAAGCGCTCTTGGATCATGAAGCAGGACAACAATCTGAAACACACCAGCAAGCCCACCTCTGAATGGCTAGAAAAAAAATAATTAAGGTTTTGGAGTGGCCAAGTCAAAGTCTGGATTTAAATCAAATTGAGATGCTGTGGTGTGCGGGCAGTTCATGCTAGAAAACCCTACAATATGGCGGAGTTGAAACAATTCTGCAAAGAAGAGTCGGCCAAAATTCCTCCACAGCGATGTGAAAAACTCAACACCAATTATCGCAAACGCTTGATTATTGATTATTGTTGCCAAGGGTGGCACAACCCATTATTAGGTTCAGGGGGCAATTACTTTTTCAGATAGGGCCAGATAGGTTTGGATTTCTTTTGGTGCTTTAATAAATTAATTTATCATTTAGAAAGTGCAGTTTTCATTTCCTTGGGTTGTTTCTGTGTGATATTACTATTGGTTTGATGATCTGAAACCTTTGTGTGTGATAAATACGTAAGCAAAGAACACAGAAATAAGGTAGGGAGCAAATACTTTTTTCACGGCACTCTACGTATATGCCCCTCCTGCTCTGAGAAATAATAATATTAATAGTTTCTTTGTCTCTTTTGGGAATTACCTCTGAGGTTGTTCTGTTCCTGCAGACTCTGCTGAAGACTAGTCACTGTTGTTAGAAGCATATCTCTCTCTGGAAAAGGTCATTAAAAAAAAAATCAATGCAGATATTTAGACTTTTTTAGGCTTCTTTTAACAGTACAATGAATACAATGTGTTTGTGTGCGATGACTTTCTTTTACATCCAACCATAAATATTCATTTGAAAACTTCCAACAAGGGGAAATTACTCCTTACATTTAATTTTTATTTTGTTGTGGTAATTAGTATGTGTTTTATTTAGTTTATTCTATGATGAAAATCATAAACGTGTAATTAATATGTTTTTGATTTGATCTTAATTGTTTGGAGGTTCGCAGACATTTCATCCTTACCTGAACTTAACTAGCAGTTACAATAAATATCCACTAGATGGTAACAAAAGCCTTGAAACAAATTCGATTTCACTCGTGCCATACAATTTTAAACGCCAAAGAACTATATGTGCCTGTTCCATGAGAGCGAAATTATTATGTTATAGAATAACAGCCTGATCTGCTCGTCCTGGATTTAAAGCGTTCAGACCAGGATCATCGTGAGCAGTTTAGTAATTAAGTAAAGTAAAGTTAAGTAAGTGAAGTAGTTGAGTAATCCTGGTTATTGAGTTGTTTGCGAAGGTACATGTTTCCTAAAAGAACAGGTAAAATAATAAATCATATTTGTAACAGAGAGCAGGGAAGGACTCCAATAGCTTTAGTTATTAATTTTTTGAAATAATTTTTTGAAATAATTTCATCATTAAGAGCAACATGTTGTTATTTTCTTATAGCATTCATATTTAAAGAAAAAAAAACAAGAATTAAAATAATAATTGCACTCCAACAAAAATCTTTACATCTTTTTTTTCTTTCCATCTGTGAGTTTGTCTGAGAGTAGTGACAGTGTCTTGGAGTAGTGTTAGGTCAGTGGTGGCTTAGTGGATTAAAGAAGGCTTCAGGTTCGAGTCCACATAATATTCTGTAGAACAGCAGGCGTGTGGGTTTGAACACACAAACAAATGAATTTACCTTCAGTCAGAGTCTTCTCTCTGCTTGAATAGAACTTAATGAGTCTACAGGCTTCACCCAGCTTCACCTCCAACATGCTGTTACTCCTACTGACCTCAATGACCCGCTGTGGATCAAATTTGACATAAAATGAAAATTGTTTTTGATTTTTAGTGTTTGAGTGAAGATTAGATCCAGATCTAACTACATTTGAAGTAATGTAAAGGGAAAAAAGGTCAGAATTCTACCAAAGAATTGAATTTCTACTGTACAGCACTGGCTTTAGTTAAAAATAAATAAATAAAAGAACAACAAAAAATCATTGTATTCAGAACTCAGTTAAAAGCTAAAAAAACATTGTATTCAGAACTCAGTTAAAAGCTGTGACTCAATGATGTATACAAAAAACGTTAGAATTTCTTGGTCTACACAAATATATTGTTTAGAACTTATTACCACTTAACATTGTTTTTATACAAATACGTACCACGTGTACTACTATACTACGGTTTTAGTAAAGTTCACTCAAATACACTTACAAATGAAGTTACACACGCTGTGGTAAAATAACGTTGATGGATCATTATGTAGATGGGTCGATGCTAACCGAATTGTCGGCTAAGGTAACTTTCTTACCTGTTCAAGTTGAGCAAAATGCGTCATAAGGTTGTCCAGACTGACATAATGTGACATCATCGCCTTGCTGCGGAGGTGGTTGTTTATTATTTAAAACAACAAGTTTAAAGACCGTACTTATTAATAAATCTAACAACTTAATAACAACTAAAAATGTTTACGCTAACCGCTAACCGCAGGCTACAGACTTGTGGATACAGTTGACGTGTTCTGAAAGTGCTGAACGTGAACAGTGAACATTTTAGAGTATATTGTATGCTTATAAGAACATTAAATACAATTATAACCAAAGAGATTCATGAAGATAAAGAGTTATTTAGGACTATTTTGGTAAAAATTAATTATTATGGTGTGTTAATTTTAAGTTGAAAAAATTAAATACTATACAAAGATATATTACACATTTATTATATAATGTACCCTGTTGTTTCAGATTTATAGCAACACATGGGGAGTTTCATGGTTATTTGTAGCTATATTTTTGCTATATTTATATTTATGCTATATATATTTTTATACTTTTCATATGCTTATATATATATATATATACTTTATTTTCTTTTCTGCTAGACATGTTTGGTAGACTTTCAATTATCTTTTGGCATTGTTTTTCAGCAGTGTGTCACTACAGGGCCAAATATTTGGTTCTCTTTTAGTTGATAAATTATCTTATTTTAGATAAGATAATCATATTATAACCATTTTATTAACTATTGTAGTTAATAACTAGTTAGTTATTAGTTAACTAGTTTTTAGTTTAGTTATCTTGGCTAACACCATGTTACCTTTTTCAACTATCCACTGCCAAACTCTATATATATATTTAATAATAATAAATTTTTTTTTTTTATCTTCTACTGCCTAAATATTCCTGAGCTAAGTTCGCCCACTGCCAAACTCTCTCTATATATATTTACTAATAATAAATATATATATTTTTATCTTTTACTGCCTAAATATTCCTGAGCTAAGTTTAAGCTATATTTTTGGCTTATTTGACTTACCTTTACTGTTTTCATTTTTAAGCCCACAGTTTTATTTTGATACAAATGTAGCCATTTTATGGTTACATGTGGCCTAACTTTCAATTATCTTTTTGGTTTACCTTACCCTTGGTATTCCTGAATTGCTTTATAAATGAATCCATCTGGGCCTCTACTATTCTGTCTTTTGTGTCATCTGTTTGGCCACTTTGTAGAGTCTTTTCTAACCTGTATCATTTGTCGGCTGTGTTCTTGTTTCCATTTAAAAACATTGCTAATAATGTTGGTTTCCAAAAGCATTCCTTGGTTTTAAACAAACACAGAAAACAAGGGCAAAACAAATTGTTTTTATTTGAAACAGACACTGAGTACAATGATTGCACTGTTACCACGGATGCCGCAGTAACTCAATTGTTAACACTGTTCAAGAGAAACAAAATAAAAATCTGTCCATGCCTTTTTTAATAAGAGAAACATGCTGACTAGGTGTTTGTGACTAATAAAACAGATTTGAGACCAAAAGTGATGTAAACGTCATTATACTGTATGGTAAAAAAAAAAAAATCTCAGGCATCAAGGGAAGATACTGTATTTCCGGCTTAAGTCCACTTGATCACAGTTCTCTTTAGTTTACGTCACACTTTGCAACATAAAAAGATAGGCAAGTATTAAACCAACAATGGCTGACCTTTGAGCCTGTGATGTAAGGTCCAAAGACAGACATGAACAACAAAGTAAGTATCAAAGCATTCAAAAGTTCAAGTTGTAAAAAAAAAAAAAAACAACAATAAATTTTATTACAAAATTGTAAGAAAAAACATATTGAAAAATGTCAAAACGTTTCACTTTTAAAACAGATTTGGTAAATGTAATTACGAAATATTTCATGTGTAAAAGTTGTTAAAAATCTTTTAAAGTAACACTTGAGTGGTTGAATTTTACTTTATTTTATTAATTTATTAAACACCAAAACATAAACACAAACCTGCCTGTTATCTTGTGTGTTTGCCTTTTAAACTCATAAAAAAACGCAAAGTCGTTTCCTGCCAAGTTGTGTTTTGGTATTTGATGCAAATAAAAATCAATTAAAAAAACAAAAAAAACAAACAATGTTACACAATGACGGGCAGCAACGACTGGTGTCTCTTTATGTTGAAGGACTCTTAAATACATGATTGGTAATGTAATGCCAATTATGTAATGTAATGCAATGTAATGTAATGCTGTAACGTTCAGAAGCCAGATCAGTTTCTTTCTACTTTTGGTTCTGTTTCATCCTTATGAAACTGTATATTTTAAATACTCTGTATACCTGCGTGAATGTTGTTGTATCTCCGTCGTATTTTCCATCGAGCTTTTCTCGAAGTGCTAAGAGGTTTTAAGACCATTTTCAGACCCAGAATTGCTCTGGCTTACTTTACAAATATTCAACAAATATAACATGTTTACTTGCACCAGGGCTATTGTAAGTTACTATGTCCTTAACGTCCCCTCTGAGGGTGCACTCACAGATGCTGTTGTGCCCAGCCCAGCCTGACCGTCCCGGTGCTCTGAGCATGGCACCACCCCCACACACTGCTCCCCGGGTGCCCACTGCTTACTTTGGTGATTGGTTAAAAGCAGAGGTCACATTTCGTTGCGTGCAGTGGTGTGCTGTGTCCCAATGACAAGTAGTTCACTTTCCACTTTCCTTATCCTTAAGTACTTCTCCTGCTGCTTTCGCAAAGTCTGTGAACCGCTGCCTCACGCGGTCAATAAATAAAGCAATTGGCAAAGGCTGCTGGTTCACAAAACAGCCCTAGCAGATGTATGTGTGTGTGTGTGTTTGAGTCTTTACTCAAAAAAAAACACACACCATGTGTATATCAGTCAGATGCTGCTGCAGAAGCTCACAGCAATGATGAGATCATATTAATCAGAGGCCTGACTATTTTCGCCCTCAATCACACTGCTTTAACTGCATACAAACAATTGACGTATGTGTTGGAGGCAACAAGGCTTTAGCTCGCTTGGCTTTTGGAGAATGTGAGTGCGGGCAGAAGGGAGACAGGGGACGGGGACAATTGGCACTTTTGAGATGATAACCGCATTTTGACCGGCATGACCAACAATGACGACCTGCCTGGAATTACCTGCAGGAGGTTGAAGGCAAAAAAAAATGAATGAAATTGAACATTTGAGGAACACCTGTGGCTGAGAACTGACTTAAATTGAAAGAACGTTTCTCATAATTTTATTCGTGATCAATGCACTCAGCCCGAAAAGGGATTTTTAAAAAATATGTACTGATACTGAATCCACCATGGATCTACAGGTACCCGGGGTAAGTATACCAACCCAGTTGTCTGTGGACTAATTGTGGACTGCCTGTGAAATAGTTATTTTCAAACACAGACGTCAAATAAGAGGAACTCGTGTGCTTGGTGTTCCCCCCCCCCTCTAAATCAGCACATGCTGACAAATCAGAACTTTAACTGCAATGAAAAGACCAGACACCATTCTCGGAACACGTCCCCTCCATGAACTGTGTTCTTAGTATTAAAGGTTCCGGGAATTTAGCAATGCTAACGAGGCTAACGAGCTCCAACTGTCACGGGGAGTCAACAGCAGGAGATAGAGCTGATTTATGGTGTAACACTTCCTAATAGGTCAGGGGTCAGATATCCGTCTGGTGTAGGCATGGCCTTGGGGATTATCAGCTGTGGCGCAGGTGTAAAGTTTGGCGTCAGCACAAGGCTGTTCTGGATGTCAATGCCTTCGACCACGGTGTAGACAGGGGCTGATGCAGATATTGTATTACGATTTAAACTGGACATCTCATCGGGCTTCACTGAGGAACTGGATGAACTCTGTGACCCCTGTCCGGAGCAGGGAACATTGAGCACTGATGTGTAGGCTGAGTGATCTGGGATGTCCCGATTGAAGTCTGTATTTTTTTTTGATTCAAGGTTCTTTTCTGTGTTTTGGCTGCTAGGGTTCAGCGCCTCAGCCTGGTCCTCAGGTGAAAGCAGAACTTTGCCAGAAGACCTTACTTCACTCACCTGGGTGTACATGGCTTCGTCAGATCCAGGAGCCTCAGTAACCAGGGATTGGATTGGTAAACATGACTGAGAGGCCTCTGAGTACAGCTCTCTGCTGAGATTTGGAATTAGAGGATGGAAATTCAACACCTCGGGCTCGATGGGAAGATCTGGGTCACAGCAGCTGGCTCGCCCAGAATCATCGTCCCTGAAGCCGAGTAAGCAGTTGTCTGAGACCGAGTGATCTACGGTGAAGTTGTTGTCATGTTCACTCAGTCGGTCATTGTGTTTGTCGATGTCCAGGTCGATGTATTCTATCCAGGGGTCGCTGTTGTACAGCTCTGGTCTGAGGTCTGGTGGACCTCCAAGGATGGACTTCAACTCCCTCAGTTTCCCCTGCTGTGGAACAAAGACAACAGCTTACAGTCAGTGTCATGTGGCATGACCAACTGTACTGCTTCACAGACCACCGCTGTCTCCTGCTATGTCTTTGATGTTGACATGGACAACCACTGTCACCTGCTCTGTAGTTAATATCCACTAAGACCACTACTCTCTTTAATGTCCACACAGACATCAACTGTCTTCTACTCTGTAGCCAATGTCCACACAGACCATCGCTGTCACCTGCTCTGTAGTTGATGTCCACACAGACCACCAGTGTTTCCTGCTCTGTCTTTAATGTCTACACAGAGCATCACTGTCTCCTACTCTGTAGTTGATGTCCACACAGACCAAAACGGTCTCATTTGTCTTTAATGTCCACACAGACCACTACTGTTTCCTCTCTTTAATGTCCACACAGACATCAACTGTCTTCTACTCTGTAGCCAATGTCCACACAGACCATCGCTGTCACCTGCTCTATAGTTAATGTCCACACAGACCACCAGTGTTTCCTGCTCTGTCTTTAATGTCCACACAGACCACCACTGTTTCCCCTGTCTTTAGTGTCCACACGGACCGCCACTGTTTCCTCTGTCTTTAGTGTCCACAGGGACCGCTACTGTTTCATCTGTCTTTAATGTCCACACAGACCACCAGTGTCTCCTGCTCTGTCTTTAATGTCTACACAGAGCATCACTGTCTCCTACTCTGTAGTTGATGTCCACAAAGACCAAAACGGTCTCATTTGTCTTTAATGTCCACACAGACCACTACTGTTTCCTCTCTTTAATGTCCACACAGACCACCACTGTCTCCTACTTTGTGGTTAATGTCCCCACAGACCAAAACTGGCCCCTCTTTCTTTGTTGTCTACACAGACCACCACTGTCTCCTACTTTGTTGTTAATGTCCACACAGACCAAAACTGTCCCCTCTTTCTTTGTTGTCTACACAGACCACCACTGTCTCCTACTTTGTAGTTAATGTCCACACAGACCAAAACTGTCTCATTTGTCTTTAATGTCCACACAGACCACCACTGCATCATGATCCATCTTTAATGTCCACACAGACCACCACTGCATCATGATCCATCTTTAATGTCCACACAGACATCAACCGTCTTCTACTCTGTAGCCAATGTCCACACAGGCCATCGCTGTCACCTGCTCCGTTGTTAATGTCCACACAGACCACCAGTGTTTCCTGCTCTGTCTTTAATGTCTACACAGAGCATCACTGTCTCCTACTCTGTAGTTAATGTCCACACAGACCAAAATTGTCTCATTTGTCTTTAATGTCCACACAGACCACCAGTGTCTCCTGCTCTGTCTTTAATGTCTACACAAAGCATCACTGTCTCCTACTCTGTAGTTGATGTCCACACAGACCAAAACGGTCTCATTTGTCTTTAATGTCCACACAGACCACTACTGTTTCCTCTCTTTAATGTCCACACAGACCACCACTGCATCATGATCCATCTTTAATGTCCACACAGACCACCACTGTATCATGATCCATCTTCAATGTCCACACAGACCACCACTGTCTCCTACTTTGTTGTTAATGTCCACACAGACCAAAACTGTCCCCTCTTTCTTTGTTGTCTACACAGACCACCACTGTCTCCTACTTTGTAGTTAATGTCCACACAGACCAAAACTGTCCCCTCTTTCTTTGTTGTCTACACAGACCACCACTGTCTCCTACTTTGTAGTTAATGTCCACACAGACCAAAACTGTCTCATTTGTCTTTAATGTCCACATAGACCAAAACTGTCCCCTCTTTTTTTGTTGTCCACACAGAGCACCACTGTCTCCTGCTCTGTCTTTAATGTCTACACAAAGCATCACTGTCTCCTACTCTGTAGTTAATGTCCACACAGACCAAAACTGTCTCATTTGTCTTTAATGTCCACACAGACCACCAGTGTCTCCTGCTCTGTCTTTAATGTCTACACAAAGCATCACTGTCTCCTACTCTGTAGTTAATGTCCACACAGACCAAAACTGTCTCATTTGTCTTTAATGTCCACATAGACCAAAACTGTCCCCTCTTTTTTTGTTGTCCACACAGAGCACCACTGTCTCCTGCTCTGTCTTTAATGTCTACACAGACCACCTTCTCCGCTGTCACCATGATTGTTATCAATTTCATTTTATATGAATTCTTCACTCAGCACCCCGAGTGAATGTATTACCTCAGAAGAAATTCAAATGTTGAAACTCGTATTCAGTTCTCCTTACCTTCAGTAGTTCAGGATCTATTCCTTTGATTTTTGGTCCAGGAACAGGAGGTAGAAGAAGGAACATCAGCCTGTGGAGAGAAGGTTGTAAATGATAGCAGAAAGAAACCGTTTTATTTACTTAAAGATCATTGATTTTCAGTGATTCCCAACTTACTTTTCCTGCTGTGAAATGAGAACTAACATTAGGATGGCCACCAAACACAAGGCACCAAAGATGAGCAAACCCATCACCGGGAATCTGGACACTGAGGAGGAGACGTGTCAAAGGTCACTTACATTGAAAACAGACCGTTCCACCAGCAGTAAGTTATACAACTTTACACTAAACATTGTCTTTTTTTTTTGACAAAATCACAGTCAAAAATGGTTCATATTTCTTACCTTTGGAGGGAATGTGGACAAAGATGGAACTGCTAAATCCTCCAAAGTCTTTTCCTGCCAGCATTTTGCAGCGAACCCTAATTTCGTGATTGACGTTGCTTTGGAGACCATACAGAGAGCGATGTGTGCTTTTGACAAGATCTACCTGCAGAGAAGACAGTTAGGTCCAAACTGAACCTAATCAAGGTGTGGTCTCATGGTGAAGACATTGAGAAGGACTCACTGTGATCCACTCTTCTGCGTTTACGTCCCGGTACTGCACTTCGTACTGCAGCGTCATCCATCCCATTTCCACATCTGCAGATTCTGGAGGCTTCCAGCTCACCATAATGTCGTAGTAGGAGCTGGACACACTCACATTCAGCAGCATCCACTTCAGGTTCACTGGTGGATCTGGTTGGACTGCAGAAAAAGAGACATTTTAATATTTAATATGTTTTTATGTTAATAGACAAATATAGGTTTTTAGACCCTGGATTGAACTTACCGATGTCCTGAACATTAAAGAAGTCCTCATCATAGAGGACATAACCATCCCTTGACCGGAGCTGGACACTGTAGTACGTCCACACGGAGGTGTAGGTCTCGTTAAAGAAGCACTCGTTGGGACGATCAGTGGTGTAGTGAGGACACTCGCTCCAGTCCAGAGGAGGAGCAAGAGGAGATCTGTGAAAAAAAAAAAAAAAAGAAAACTGTGTAAACAAGGTCGAGTCAGAATCTTGGCATTGGTATCAATGAAAGTGTGGCAGCATTGTTAGGGTTTATAAATAGTATGAACCCTAATGGTTCTGTTGCTTTACACACTTGTTGAACGGCCGGTTCTGTACAACCTCTACCTGTAATGAACCACCACAAGCTCCACCCACCTGTGCTAATCACACTTCCAGTACCTCAGGTATTTACATATAGCTGCTGTTCAATTGTAGCTGTGATTAGTTTTAGGTTCGTGAGATACACTTTGAAAAAGGTCAACCTTGAATAGAGAGTCCTGTTTAAATTCCTGTATATTTTTACAGGCAAAATGCTAACAAACATGGAGAACTTGATGTTGAGAAATGTATATTTTTTTCACTTTTTTTGCACATCCTTCTGGTAAACCCTGTGAACCCTAGAGTTTCTTGGAAAGCAAAGAAACCACACATGTTCTTTTTTTTTCCTCCTCTCACTTTTTGTTGATGAAATACAACCGCAGATCTCCGGGTTTGGAGAGGTTCTGGAAAGTGCCCACATTCCATCTGCAGTGGAACGTTTCCATGTTGGCGGAGACGCAGCCAATGAGGTGTGGCTGTTTCTGGGGCACATCTGCAGAGAGAACATAAAGGAAAAAGACACACAGATTTCATTTCCATTTTCTTTCGTGTTTCTGCTGGTCTGCCGTCACTCTGCAGCTGTTGTTGATCTCGTGGCCTCTGGCCAAACCAGCAGGGCCCTGCTGTGAGCCAAGGACATGATAATGAGTGTAATCTAACTCCAGAGAGCGGCTCGGCCGCAGGGCAAACATTAGAGTTTTCCTGGAAGTCACTTTAAACTGCTCTTCAAAAAAAAAGCTGCAGCAGAACTCACTGTCACGGCTTGTCCTGCCACAGAGGGAGACATTTGTTTTCCCTGAACTCCAAGAATTCACCAGGAGTTTGACAAGGATGGTGGGGAAATTGCAATGTTTTATAAATTGATTACGTTTTAGGACTAAAGACAGTTCTGTATAAAAGCAACAGCTGTGAATGTGTCAACGTGGCAGGGGCTCAACTATTCTATCTACCTAACTACAAAGAAGGCACCGCAGGACAGAAACGAAACACTAATGTGACAAACGCTGGACATAAATGTACCACTGCTGTAATACTTGAATGATATCAGGCCTCCAGTCACTAGATGGCAGCAACTCATACAGTGGTTTGTACAGATAAAAATATACAGGTTATCAGGTTCTGATTCTGGTTTGGGGGGGCGCGTTAGCAAGTTAGCCAAAATAAATAAAAATACCGTACAGGAAGACTTTGAATTTAGTTCTTAAAAATAAATATTTTAAAATAAGTCTTTCAGAAATACTAGCAATTCATGACATTAGCCCCTGCCTGTCAGCAGTGGTACTGCATTTCCTTCCAGGGAGCTAACAATATGTAACAATATAATAATACTGCAATATTCTTTTTTCTTCTGTGTCCTAAAAGTGGTCAGAAACACACATACACACACAGAGAGAGGCACCAACATGCTCTGCATTACTGAGAGTCAAATTGATTTTTCCAATAATCCTGTGCAGAGTTCCATCCCGAGGAGGAGGAGCTGGGGCAGAGGGGAGTATGGTAAACAGGTTATTTTTAGTCTGAGAGTCTCTGTCCCTGAAGCACCCTAAGCAGTACACAAGTCTGCTTCATCACACCACCATCATCGTCACAATCATCATCATCATCGTCTTCGTCATCTTTACAGATTCAGCTGTAAAGGAGTCTTTTTTTTTTTTTGACTCCTGACATGTCCCTGTCTTCTCCCAGCCTGGAAGTATGAGGAGGTGTTGTTCTCTAAAGTGTCGATGCCCTCAGAACACAGAGCTCAGGTTTATCCACGGCTGCCTTCCGCTCTTTATTTAAAGGCATATTACACACACATATCTCCTTCAGTGGAATTCCTTCTGGAATTCTGGAGGATGACCTTTGACACCAGGTCACAGCCTGCTTCCTAGTCTGATCTAAGGATCATTGTTCTTTCCATTGACCAGCTCTGATCACAATGTAGACCATGGTTGTTTTCTCCATTATTAATTATGTTCTGAGACTGTGGCGCTCTGAGGCAATGTCTCTGTCATTGGTGTGGAACCCCAGGGTTCACCTCCTGGACAAGTTCAAATCCCGGTTAGGGTGGTTGGTACGGTGCAATGTGATGTGGGTGGCGACTGCTGCCCCTGCGACCCGGTAACGGATAAGCGGATAAAAATGGATGGATGGATGGATGGATGGATGTTCTGAGACTGTCACATGTGACCACACGTGACCCATTAAATGGATGGATGGATGTTCTGAGACTATCACATGTGACCACACGTGACCCATTAAAGATAGGTCACCTATGCGTAAAAAATGCCTGGTATTAGCCACTTTCGCCTGCTGTGTGAATGTAGTCTATGTGGAAGGTAGAAATTCCAAGTACCATCAGTGGTAATCTTAGAGCAGAGGGTCCCCAAGTGGGATGCCACTTTCGCCTGCTGTGTGAATGTAGTCTATGTGGAAGAAGAAATTCCAGGTACCATCTTAGAGCAGAGGGTCCCCAAGTGGGGGGCTTGTCCCCTAGGGGGCACGCAGTGCCATTGCAGGGTGGGGCACAGATGGGAGGAATGAATTAAATGTAACACAGCATATTGTCCAATGGTGTAAATGTTTAACCAGAGACTGGGAAAAATCAGATTAGTTGAAGGTAAAATGAATATTTGATAAAAAAAAAAAAAAATCACAAAGAAGGTTTTTTTTTCTCATTCTTGTTTTTGGTGTCTGTTCAATCTGCTCAGATCTCACTCCTCATGTCAACTGCCAAAAATGGCAATGCCAGCATAAAATGGAAAGGCGTTTAAAAACAGTTAAAAAATGTGTAAAATATACAAGTCTAAAAATGAAGTATGTGTACGTGTCCTTTGTTGGGAGGTTGTGGGGCGTGAACATGTTTCTCATGAACCTAAAGGGGGACTACAGAGAAAGTTTGGGAACCACTGCCCTAGATTGAAAACCACTGTGTTTAATGATTTAAATCGTAATAAATGTTAAGGTTTTTGAAACTCTGGCTCTCTCTCTGTGAACTTTGATCAGGTTGGGGACCAGAACTAATAAGTGAACTAATGTTTGTTAACCCATAAATCATCATGGCTGTCAGTAAACAAGTCAGAGGTTTTTATTCTGAAGATTTTCCCCACCTACTCTTGTGTCTACCTACAGTCTAAGTGAATAATAATCTCCTGAAATGCACTTAAACCAGTGTCAATGTGTTTACAGCACAATGGCTGCTGCTGCTGCTGCTGCTGGTGGTCCAGGTTATTTCCGGCTGAAACAAAAACATCCTCTGGGCGTTCACTCCCTCTGACGTTCGACTATGTGGCAGTGATACGAACGACAGCTGGAAGCTTGAGGAAACTTCCTTTAAAGGTCGAGCTCTAACAGGTTGACCAGCAAACATGTGTTTCATTCAGTCATTCTTCTTCTACGGCTACTGTATCAGCAGCCTATCGCAGCAGTCATCCGTGAAGGTCCTTGAAGAGTCTCTACTCCTACACAACCCCTCTTCACTAATGAATGTTTGTTTTCCCTTTTACAACATCCATTAACGTCTATGCCGAGTGTCGGCGGGAAGCAGCCGTTAATGTATTTTTCCTGGGAGCAGGAGCACGAGGAGGAGGAAGGGGAGGAAACAGGCTTATGTTCCGACATTAATCACAGCTTTTTCGCACAGCAGAGGAGAAGCAAACAAAAAAATGAAACACTTGTCCTCAGCATTTATGAAAACCAGGATGATACTGTTTACTCCACAGAGACTGACTGAGGCCTGGGCAGATTAAAGGGACAATAATAATAATAATAATAATAATTTTTATTTCATAGGCACCTTTCTGTCACCCGAGGACACCTTACAGTGAATACAAAGATAACAACAGAGAAAGCAAGCAATCTACACCCCCCAGGAATTACTATTGAGAACCTGATAACGTATGTCCAGCGTGCCCCTCATGCACCCCCTGGCTGCTCTATGCGTCACCGCTCCACCCCACTATTTGAGAAATACTACAATAGGTGAAAGTAAATGAAAAGTGTAGGACAGAAGGAGAGAAGCTGTCCTCTATCCCACTGATAGAGTTACATAAGAGACAAATCCCAGGACTGTGTTTCCTATGTGTGTGTATGTCCTGTTGATGGGTTTGTTTCACAGCAGCTCCTGTCTGTGTGTAAACAGCTCCCCAGTCTTCACTGGTGGAGTGGCTCTGCAATCGTCTGTGCTTTCTTTTTTTTTTTTTACTTCGTGTTCCCACTCCAATCTGCAGAATTCCTGGGAAGCCACTTCACTGAAAATGTGTTTGGACACTCTGGGTGGTTCTCTGTTCCCGTGGAGGCCACTTCACTTCACTGTTGTGCAACAGACTCAAGTCCCCAGAAGCGCTTTACCCAGAATTTACTGCCACGAATCCCATCCCTAAAACTGGCCTCACATGGTACTGCTGACACGTGGTGTTATATAAAAAAAATGTGTTGGTTTTCTCTTAAGATTAGCAAATCAGAAAATCAGTGCAAAATGTTCCCTTTGTGTATTTTCTCGAATTTCTTAATTCCAAAAGTCTCCAAAAAATAATAATTTTAAAGAATGGAGTCAGATCTCTTCAAAGAATTTCACAATAACCGACATCAGGTTGAGCATCAAGAAGAAGAAAAATACACTTTTATTCTGTGTCTCCTCAGCTCAAGAAGAGAGTATTTTCTGTCACCTGACATTTCGTCCCATGTTTAACAAGAAAAATTGGAACCACCGTCCCAAAGACATCGTAAAAACACCACGAGAAAACTTTCAACAAGTGAATGAAATAATCTGATGTTGAGAGAAAAAAGGTCATAAATTCTCATTAACAGTTTAGGTTACCTACACTCACAGGAAAATCAACGCAATTTTTGTTTATTCTGAAATGAATATCCTGCAGCAGAGGTGCAGACTGAATGTTTTCTCCCACTGATCATCAAGGATGAACACAGGGCTGTTTGAGAGGCAACAGATGTTAAAAGAACCACAACAACCTCGATGTGGAGAAAACAATGGAAGGTGTGCTTTTCCACTGTTTCTGCTCTTCAGAGAAGCCAACATTACCGATTACAGATATAGTCATCTCCAAAGACAGGTCTATAGTAGAACTAATTTCCAAAACAAACTCATCAACAGAAAATGAAAAATCTACCATTCCACTAGTCCAAACAACCAACTCTACCTACAGGAAAAACCGAAGAACTGAAGGAATCACTGCAAAGAAAAGTGATTGTCTTATGGTTAAGTTCTGCCAGAAACAGACCACAATTGTCCTAAAATTGAACAGCGGGGCCGGGTCAGGAACAGATAGATGGAGCGTTCGTGTGAACTAAGATAAATGACGATGTAAAAGCATAAAGGCTAAAATATTTTACTCATTTTCGACACCATCTATTAGGCAAACGAGGGTATCAAAGGAAAAAGGCATAAGTATAATGATAATATAAATAAATTATATAATTTGGAAAAGTTTGGCGGGCCTGATGTCAACTAGTGACATCAGCACCAGAACTGCTGAGGAATATTTAGATAATCGTTTTTGTCACGACTGACAGGCACCACCATTTCGCCGTGTGCATGTCCTTGCACAGAGCGAGAATTGACAAGTGCAGGAATAAAAATAAGCTGCACAACTAAAAAAATAAAGCTGAAAACAGAAAGCCATTTTTGCTTTTGGATGATAGAGGGGGTTTAACATACAGTGTGATCTGGGTGTATCTAAGGGATGCTGCCGTTGTTGAAGGAGGGTGCGCCTACAGCTATAAAACGATTATTAGACTAAAACATTGAAATATGCCAATTCGGATATGTTCATATACTCAAAACCGATGGTGCAACCTTATGCAGACAAGCAAGCTTACATGTTTTAGGTGATCTGTCATGTGTATAGTGAAGCCCTGGTATGCAAACTGTTGCTCGTAAACTTTTCACGCGACTCTTTTACTGTTATCTATATTTGTAAAATGCTATCACACTCTGGATGTATTTGTCTGTAGATTGACATCTAGCACATTATTAAATGTATCTGTCTCTGGGTTGGGCTAGTCCACTGGTTTTCAATTACTTTCTGTCATGCCCCCATGGGGACAAGTAGAGCCATAACGTATCAACTAACAAATCAATCAGACGTGAGATTACAGCCCTACCAAAATGACTTCATTTTAAAAGTGTTTCTTTATTATTAGTCTGAATAGATCCATGGTCCTACCTTCAAGTGACGCTGATCCCACGGGGAGAACAGCAAAGATGTTGAGAAGGAAGAGAATCGAGCCGAGTCCTGCAGCAACCATGGTTCTGAGCTGTACAGAGGAAACACACGTGGTGAATGTTGGTTTTCCTGACTGCAGTCATCAGGCTCTGCCTCCTCCCACTCCCACTCCTCTCCTGTCCTCTCCTCCACACAGACCAGTGTTCACATGAAAGGAAAAGTCAGAGAGGTTGACTACACCCACCATCATCACCACCACTGCAGCTTGCTGAGGGTCAGAGCTTGATGAAGACCCAGTACCCGTTCTTAATTTCCCTATCTATCTATCTATCTATCTATTTATCTATCTATCTATTTATCTATCTATCTATCAATCTATCTATCTATCCATCCTCTTTCTATCTATCTATCTGTATATCTGTCTGTCTATCTATCTATCTGTCTATCTATCTCTGTCTATCTATCTCTCTATCTATCTCTATCTCTCTATCTATCTATCTGTCTATCTATCTATCTAACTGTCTATCTATCTATCTGTCTATCTATCTATCTAACTGTCTATCTATCTATCTGTATATCTGTCTGTCTATCTATCTATCTAACTATCTATCTATCTAACTATCTATCTGTCTATCTATCTCTATCTCTCTATCTATCTATCCTATCTATCTATCTAACTGTCTATCTATCTATCTATCTCTATCTATCTATCTATATATCTATCTATCTATATATCTATCTATCTATATATCTATCTATCTATTTATCTATCTATCTATCCATCATCTATCTATCTATCAATCTATCTATCTATCCATCCTCTTTCTATCTATCTATCTGTATATCTGTCTGTCTATCTATCTATCTGTATATCTGTCTGTCTATCTATCTCTCTATCTATCTCTATCTATCTATCTAACTATCTATCTGTCTATCTATCTCTCTCTATCTATCTCTATCTCTCTATCTATCTATCTCTATCTCTCTATCTATCTATCCATCATCTATCTATCTATCTCTCTATCTATCTCTATCTATCTATCTGTCTATCTATCTATCTATCTCTATCTATCTATCCTATCTATCTATCTATTTATCTATCTATCTATCTCTCTATCTATCTATCCATCCTCTTTCTATCTATCTATCTAACTGTCTATCTATCTATCTGTATATCTGTCTGTCTATCTATCTATCTATTTATCTATCTATCTATTATCTATCTCCAGACTCTGAGTTTAAAACACCTTTGTTGTTATTGTATTTCAGACTCCAAACAGTTAAATCTTAGCCAAGAATATAAATGAAACATCACCAAATGTAGCTAAAGGTTGACCATAAATGTCTATGAGTGTAAGACAGTAACAATTGACAATAACAATTGACAATAATCAGATGGTTCGGGCGTTTTTCCGACTTTAATTAACGTTAGCGCCACCGTAACACTGGGGATTCACTGTGGCCCTGAACGACCTGCACTAGAAACCGAGTCACAAACGTTCCCATGTCTGCTGATAAGACAAACTGACAGATTTAAGAAACCGCAGCTGCTCCGAACATCGAACTCTACCCTTGTATTTCCACTCAATAAAGTCAAAGTTTTTATTAATTGATGTTTAAAAATACAACATGGAAGACGCTCCAGAATATAAACTGCCTTGAACAGCGGTTCTCGGTGTGGGGGACTGGCCCCAGTGGAGGACATTAATTGAATTTCTAATATTATTATTTTTTTATTTGAGCCAGAGTGGGTTGATTACTTTTTTCTGATCGTCTCAGATTACATTTTAGCTTGATGTCTAATCTCCGATAAATATTTCAGACACAATGGTTTTCCGAAATATATCAGATTATCTTAATATACTCATATTATTACTTTACAAATATAACATTTTGGTTCTGAGACAAATACATTTATTTCTGATTATCTCTGATACGTCTTCAATTATTCAAATGCTTGTTCATAATTACGCAGATAATCTCAAGACGAAAAAAACAACAAGATAAAACAAGATAATAGTACAAAATTCAGCAGCAAATGGCTATGGGTATATAGTCACAGTGTATAGTGTATATTCAATTTCAATTCTCGTTTCGGATAAATCACATTGTCTCAGATTGTTGTGACGGCCAAATCCGATTACCTCAAATCACTGCTTTTGATAAATTAATCTACCTTTCAGATGACTCGTATTATCCCAGATTCTTGTTTTTGATCAATGCGATTATCTCAGATTATTGTCACAAATACTTCGAGTTATCTCACATTATCGTTTCAGGTTAAACAGACCATCGTTTCAGTTACATCGAATTGTCAGATATTAATTCAATTAGATAATGGTCCCAAATACATCAGATCAGTTCGCTGAAATAATAATTTCTTTAAGTAAAATTATGTAGTTTTAATTTAAGTAACGTAGGTTTTCAACGCACAATAGCAGTTTACGCGCTCTAACACACGCTCAGTGTATAAATGTATAGCTTAAGACTCACCTCTGTGTGTTTTCTCTTCTTCTCTAAACTCAGTGTAAAAAGTATCCAAACACCCAGACACACACTCGGAGTCGTACTGTAAGTGTCGTGAGGCTCGGGATCAGTCAGGAATGTGTTTACTGTCGAAGAAACCTGACGTCTACAGCTGCAGTACAGCTGGAGTCAGAACACAGACAAGAGCAACATCTCCATCTGCTGGCTTTATTGTGGTACTAATTAAATCCCATACATTGTGCTAAATTGTTTGTGCAAGTACATGAAAACTTTGGTTGATTTTAATTTTTTATGTTTTGTTACCTAATTTAAGATTTATTGGCCAATTGTTTGTGATTTTGATTTAGACTTAAATATATAGATATTAAGGATGCAGCAATGCATGTATCTGATGCATCGGAGAAAAAACCGATAACGATTCTTGCCGATATTACATAATTATGCTAATATCAGCAGACCAATAATATCGGCAGATATTTTTGGACATTTCTACAAATACGTAAGTTTCAGGGATAATATTTGAAAATGTCCACTAGAGTGGCTATTTAATCTGTATTAAAGACAGACCACCGCAGATCGATTGTGTCACGTGATGCAAACTTTAATTTCTAAATTATGGTTTTATGGTCTACTTTCACGACAGTTTCAGAGGGTTGTTCTTTTGTTCTTGTATTTAGATGGAAACAATTGATGGCTATGATAAGTGAATACGTAAGAATTTATTTCGAAAATTGAGATTAAAAATAAAAATCTATTGGGTGTTGCAAACGTCGAGCTGGCAGATGAACCGTAATAAAAGGGCTGCGGATTACAACAGTACTTTTCAAATAGCGGGGCGGCCCCCCGGAATGTGTGCCATGGGGGACGGGGGGTTGGCGTCAGAGGCTTAAAATGGAACATCAAGCTGGACAGAAGTTAGTCCATAAGGTGAACCCTATTATCGTTTCATTTCGCTGCGACGTCTGCGAACTACACGATCTTAACTTCATAAAAAGGAACGACTTACGTTAAACTAACAGCAAAAAGTTCGTCGCAAAAAACCCTTCCCATTTTTTTATGGCGAGGCATTTTATGCCGAACTAGTTTCTTCAGGGCGTCATAAGATTTCGGTTCGCGAGCCGTGGCACGGTTTGACATGTGATAGTGCAAGACCAATCGAGTAGCTGATTGATGTCAACACTCCGGCAACATGGCTACTTCCGTGGTTTTACTAAACGTTACCGATAAACAGGGCTTTATACATAGCCGCCTGCACGGACAACAGTGAGGAAAATAGACGAAGGTGAACTTTCTATGTTAAGTCATTTTGATCAATAAAAGGAAGTAATTAATGACAAGGACCATTTGTTTATTCAAGAATTCAAAAAAAACTTCTTTATACAGCATAAGAAAATCAATGATAATGTTAACAATGCACCCACTGCAATACAATTCTGAGGCAATAGGCCACACAGGACATGTTAGTCTTCACTGTCAGTATCAGGGCAGTTGTCATCTTCCTTCTCAATTTCCTTTGTGTTTGCACACCTACGCAGGTCTGTACAACAGACCTGTGTCTCCTGCAGAGACACAGAAACACTTACCTGTCTCACAGTCACACTCTCCCTGCAGCTGCAGGCTGGATTTCTTGTCATCCA